AAAAGAGAGTTAGAAAAGATTCTGCATCTGGTTCTTGCTACTTGAGAAGGACCAGAGCCTCCTACATGACCTTGCGGCCTGGTTTCTCGTCTTCTCGCCACCTGTGGCCAAACCACCCTTATCTTATTTTGTTCACCTAAAATGAATTCCTGAGAGTGAAAATGATATATCCATATGCCTATGTGGATTGGGGTAATGTCTTAGTTAGATACTTTATACAAATGCTTATCATCCAACTAAATGGAGGAATTAAGATGACAGGAAGTAGGAGGCCAGCTTTACCCCACGGCTCATCCCTAGGTCCCTGTATTTTTGTGTAATATTTCTGTTTTGGTCAATATCTGACTCCGTGTATCACGGTGGTTTCCTGAGATCCGGCACTCAGTGACACCAAGGCTGTCTGTGCTCATTCTGTGATGTCCACGCAATAGTGAAATTGCTTTAGGACACGTTTCCCATAATGCATCTCTGCCCTTTGGCCATCGCGGTTCATTTGTTTACAGCTGGAGTTTCCCAGAAGCCTTGGGGAACCTTTGTTTTGGCACACCTCTTACCCTCATGTTCCAGCCTTTCCCCTGCATTGTCTGTCAGTCATGCATTGGACCCTCAGCTCAGGCGAGGAGGAGGAGACCAAGGGCAGAAGATAGCAGAGGAGCATTGGATAGATGCCTGGTGCTTGAGGCTGGGCCTTCCACCTTTGCTGACTGCGTGTGTACGGAGGGACCTATTCACTGAGGATTTCCTTTCTTCAAAATGAGGGTGCCAAGTGTAGCCACTCCTGACTCCTAGGAAGAGGCCAACAGATGATAGCAGTGTTGTTACTACCACTCTCGAAGACTGACGTTTGCAAGGGGAACAGCTAGCTGGCCATGAGTCAGTCAGCAGAGAGGACTGACGAGTCTAGGTGCTTCCAGCGAGGCTTCAGGACAGAGAAGGGCTGTGCAGATTCTGCAGGACTTCCTTCTGTGGGCTGACTGAATACCAGGCCTTCTGCAAGGAGATCCCATGCACTTAGGCAATTCTCAAATCCTTCCTATTGGTAGGCTTTAATGTCCCATCTTACAAATAAACCAGGGTTCAGCATGGTGGATGGGATGACATTGGAAGCTGGGTGGGGGGGATGACCTGAGCATCCATATCCTCCCCAGAATGAGTGCTCCTCATCTCTGTTACCCTGGGACAGGGAAAGGCCCATCCCCCCGTCCCAGTGCACTCCATTCAGCAGCTCCCCGTGAGTTGCTGTCTGCATGCCTACCTCTGGTCTCCATGGCAGACCCTCGTTTTGGCCATTATTTTATTTCCTGGGATCACTCCCATGTTTGCCGTGGGCCAATGGCCTTTTTGATTTGAGCTAATGCATAAATGAAGGTCAGAGGTGGTGGGACTTTAGGGAATGCAGTACTTACTGTGCCTGTGCCATTATTTCTTTGGCTCACCCACACTTTAGAGCACTGTTTGTGAGACTAGCGTGAAGGGATGCTTGTGAAGCCATTGCTACAAATCCTAGCAGTTTGCTATTGTAATTGGTGTTCCCGCCTGCTCACAGTTACGCGCTATCACTAAATAGACTGGGGTGCAAGGTGAAACACGACCAGCATTTGCTGAGGGAGGAGGAATGGAAAGAAGGGACTTTCTTTAATGAATGGAGCAACAGTGTGTACCTCTTACAGGCCTTACTGACTTCAGCCTGTTCGGCTCTCCCTAGATTGGTATGTAATCTACGTGATTAATAAGGACAGAATTACAGGTTTCCATGTTAAAAAATGGATCTCGTGTAAACAACGACTTCTTTTTGAAGATAAAACTATGGTCCGCATGTTATTTGGGACACAGCTATACTCAGACTCCGAGATTTATCTGAAGGGCAAGTTCATCTGCATTAGACGTCCATCTTTCATCGTATCTGGCAGCCTTCCATGCTTTTCGCCCTGAACATACATCCCCATCAAGCCATCCATAACAGGAGTGGCAGGTAGCTTGTTGGACGAGAATACATTTCTGCCAGCCATCTCAAGGTTAGGTGTACTGTTAAATGCGTACACTATATTACGTGGTAATGACTATAATTTGAAGCCCTTATGCATTTGAGACTCAGTGATTTACTCTCTGTTTAATTTCTAGTCAAGAGCAAGAGACTTTTAAGGGCGTATACAAACATGTTCTATGATTGTTTTAGATGACTTGCGTCCTAAAAGAGGGGGTGCCCATTTAATACTTCCTAAGAAACCTTAAGTAAGCACTGACTTTGCTACTTGGCAGGGTGCTCACAGGATTTAAGGCAGGCCCACGAGAGGAAAGAAGATTCAGGTTGGAATTCATGTTGTTTAGAAACACCTAGACGTGGTAAACTTGACTACTCCGTCATACTCTCACGTTTTCCCAAAATACCACATCATTTTCACACATTGCGCCGTCCTCCATATCAGCTAAGATCAGAATTCCAGATGACAGTAGAATCCTGTGGTCATTAAGACCAACAAGCTTTTTTCTTTGATAATAAAGTTATAAAATTAAGAAAAAACAGCGGAAACAAACTATCGTAAGCATAAGCTCTAAGAAGTGGGAGGGGCTTCCGTGAACAGCTCCCCTGGAGTGCTCTTTCCAGATGAGCCAAGCTCCAAGACACGGCCTCGTCACCCATGGGGGCAAACACTTAATCAGACTAGAATGGTTTCCCTCAAACACAAATACACCCAGCATCCACATTCTCTCTTCAACACACGTGAGACACTCCCATTGGACGGAATGACTCCAAACCTCTGATGTCAGCCTGGTCTGACGTCTCAGCACAGCAGGGAATGCACGAAGCCAGAGCCTTGCTACTCTCTGTAATGATCAAACTGTCTTAAATTAGAAGTATTTGTTCTTTACAAATATGGACAGATGCAAAAAGAGCGATCTTACCCATGTGGATTTTGGATTTACAAGTAGCCTTTGTGTATATTCCCCGAATTATCGGTTGCTTTTCACTTCTCTAGTGCACGCAGAATCTAGTGAGATTCTGACTCAGGATGGATGAAACCCTCCTTTTGCCTCCCTTCTCCCTATTTCCATATCGCAGTTAAAAAATGATTACAGACCTAACAGGTGGAAAATTGGTCTTTATTATAGCACAAAATAAACATCACCTGTTTGTTCTCTTCACTGTGGTTCGGACCCACAGTTGTTAGATCTGAAACACACTTCTTGTCTCTAGATACTTTACGTATGTCCACCTTTTTTTCTTTTTAAGGTCCAGAAGAGCATAGTGGCTAATTACATAAAAAGTTAAAATGTGATATGGCAAATAAATAGCATGAGGCAGAACCCCGAGCTCACGCGTGGGTTCGACAGATGCAGAACAGCGTTCCATTCAGTAAGGGAAGACGTACAATCATGCTTGGAAACCCGGAGATGAATCTGCCCGGAACATTTAATTTTCATGGTAAAAGCATGCAAACAACAGGGGTGGCCTTTGCTGGAGCCCACCCAAATCAGAAGCATGGATGCCCACCCAGAGGGTGAGTCTCAAGTCAAGCATGTGTTTCCTTGTCTTTTGTCTTAACCGCCCTCATACTCAGAACTTCTCTGCCCCTGGGCGGTGCACTCAGAGCCTTGCCGGATAAGGACCCTGCTCTACTGGGAACTCCCTTACCGCTCACACCTGCAAAGCTTGACCTGAACGCCCGCCCCCCCCCGTGTAAAGTAAATGCTTTGAGACTAGGGGGTTGGGGGGGCTGATACAATAGGCCATTACCAGCTTTCTAGACTTTGCCATGAATGAATTAAGAGCAATGCTGTGGGATATAAGCTGGGCTGGAAAAAGCAGAAGCTTTCGTTTATGTTGGGTCCTCATGTTGGGGTGTAACCCCAGGCAGAGGTCAATCTAAATATGTATTGGGGTCTTTAGAGTGTGGGAGTGTCATGCTGGAGGGTAGAGAAAAGGAAGCTTAGGAGTCCCATAAGGGAGGGTTGTTGACATCCAGCCTTGCTTATGCTCAACATTTGGAAACAGCCCATGGGACTGATCTGCTAAGGCATCTGCCTTTGGTCTCTGTCCTTTCTCCTGGAGGTGACATAAGTAACTTGGTTACTGGTAACTATACAAGACATGAACTTCTATGATATACGGTACAAATTCTTTTCATTTCGGCACTGGGACTTGAACCCAGGATCTTAGGCACGCTGGGCAAGTGTTTTGCTACCTAACTGCCCCTCTAGCTCAATAAAAAATGACCTTGAAGCTGTGGGATGGATCTGATGTCCTTAACCATATGCGGGTTACAAGCTATCCATCTCTATACACAAAATAAACTCTCAGGGATGCTTTGCATCTGTCTGTTAATGGTGGACTCGACCCCGAGTTTATCCTAAAGAAAACCAAAAGGCGAGAGAGGAACAAAAGCCTCCTCCATCCTCATCTCCCTGTTCCATAGAGAACAGTGCATCCCAACGCTTCCCCTTAAGGGGCACCTGCTCTTCTGTAGAAAAATGAATGTGGGAAAGAAACAGGCAAGGAGTGGAAAGGTACCATTGATAGAAGTTAGCTATAGAATGTATTCCTTGCAAGGACCATAAAGATAACATTAAACCATTTGTGAACTGAGTAAGCTATCTCTGTATATGATGGGCCCTAATAAGTCCTCCATCTTCACGTGAGTGCTCACCTCTCCTCTCTATATTAGCATTGCCGTGAGAAGGCAGACGGCAGAATGGAATCTAGTCCTCTTGGAGGTCGGGCCTTAGGATGCTAAGGGAATTGTGTGTCCCACAGCTCTGTAAGCAAACACGAGCCTCACCTCTTTCAGACGCATTCTATCTACTTCCCCACTAACCTGAAGGACATGGGGGAATGGCTGGGACCCACTCATGTTCTGTCTTTTGTAAAAATTAAGTCTATGCCAGCAAACTACGGTCCTGCGTGGCCTCGGGAGACACCCTCTGCCTCTGAGCAGACCCATCTCCTCTGAGCATGCTCCTCACAAGGCCATGGCCACCATCACCTAGGAGCAAACCCGTACCTGCGGAACTATTCTTCATCCACGTCTGTTACAAACTGAGAATGGTGCTCGGGTGACTTGCTGTGCGTTTTGCTTAGGTGGAGTTTTACTGCGTGTTTGCTCACAAATGTCCGACTGCACAACTTACACTTGAATTTAGAGTCTGTGTCCTCTTCACCGGCTATTGTTTCCGGAGACCTCTGAGCCGACGACACCCGGGAGATCTCCTGCTCCACCTTGCTTGGCTGGTCAGCCGCCATCCGCGTCATGTCCTTCATTTGGAAGCCCAGGTGAGACTCTAAGTGGCTGATGTAAGTAGAGGGGGTTCTGAACTGGGAGGCACAGTCACTGCAGTAAAAGATGGGGTGCCCTTTGTCCATGTTTTTCAGGAATTTTGTCCCCCCTGTTTTCCTAAGCTGGTACTTGACATTGGCCAGCCAGTGGCTGATTGTGGTCATCGAGAGTCCCGTGAACTTTGAGATTTGCATCCGCTCCTGTGGGCCCAGGTCAGAGAGCAGATATTTGCCCTCCGATGTCTGGAAGAGGCTCGAGGCGAACTGCGCCTGCAGGATGAGCAGGTGCTGGGGGTTCCAGTTGGACTGCCTGCCCTTCCTCTTGTGCAAAGTCGAGACTTCGCCGGAAACATCCTCGAATCGCCTGACATCCATTTCCAGCTTCATGGGCGGGACCCTCGAGGGAGCAGCTGGCTTGGGGGTGGTGGCTTTGGGGAGGACCTTGACCATATCGGCAATGTCACAGAGAGCATGCTTCTGAGGTGGGGACGTGCAGGATTGTGCTTGCGAGGACTCGGCCCTCTTGCTTTTGGATTTGGTCAGGTCAATGGGCTGGTCGCTGTTCTCAAACAGGTAGTGTCTGGATCCGCTGGCCGGCCTGGTGGAGGAGGGACTTAGGACCGGTTTGTCCACTGCGCTGAGACTAGACTTGTGGAACATAGAGATTGTGCTTGAGTTGGGGCTGGAGCAGGAAGGAGAGCGCAAAGGCTCAGTAGCTTTACCCAGGTGGTTGTTGAGGACCGACTGCAGCGCACTGAGCGGGTTGATGCAAGGCAGGGTCGGGGTGTGGTTAGCCGGTGCGCACCCGTTGCTCAGAGAAGATACAGGTTCTAACGGCTCTGGTTTCTCTTTCGGCAGCTTCTCTCCCTCCTTCGGGGGACAGGGCTCTACCTTTCTGGATTCTGAGGGTGTTTCAATTTTGGAGAAAGACTCCCCCTCAGACTGGCTGAGAGATGTTGCCTCTTCACGGGGACTTTCCTTCCCGCACTCCTTTCTGACTTCGTCTTTGTCTTCTGTCTCCTTCTTAACTTGAGTGTACAGGGCCAGGTTTGTGGGCACAGGGCCAAGCGGCATGACTTTCCACTTGGGCGCGATGGGCCTTAGCTTGTTGGCGAGGTTGGGTCTGATTTGCAGTATCTGAGAGCCCATTGCCATGGGTGGCTTGGCACCCTCTGACAGCTGGTAGGCTGCGTGGATACTTGGATATGCGCTCCAGCTGGGAGCACCGTTTTGGGCCTTGTTGATGGCCGTGGTTACAGTATTTTCCAGTGACTTTAAGATGTCCCCTCCACCCTTTGAGCCATCTTCCAAATCCTCTTCTCTCAGATACTGGTATTTTAAGGTGGGGTCGAGAGGTTTCTGTAGAGGGTCTTCGTATTCCTCGCCTTTCGCCCCTTGCTCGTCTTCGTTGATCTCCTCCGCCTTCTCCTTCTTGCTCTCTTTCTTTAACTCGGTGCTAGAGGCTGCGCAGTCAGAGGCAGAGTTACTTGACGGCTTAGCGCCCAGAGACTCGCTGTTTGGGGTCTCGGACAGCGACTGCATTTTCTCCACGGCCAGCGGGTCCAACACCAGCTGCTTGCCTTTCTTGGAGGCAGAGCTGGTGACTTTGAGAAAGTGACCCGTGACCATCATGTGGGTGGTGAGCTGCTGCAAGGTGTCATGGGAACTGCCACACTCCATACACTTTAAGATCTGCGACTTGCAGGCCTCGAACTGCCAGGTGTAGCTGGCTCCGTTTTGGTAGCCGTAGCGGCTGTTGGAGGGCAGCTGCAGGTTGGGGTTTTTCTGGGAAGAAAACGATTCTGCCTGTGTCCCCGTGGTGGAGTCCGGGGAGCAAGGCCTGTTGATGTCGAAAACACGCTTCTTGGCTGGTGTGACCATTTTAGAGGAAATGGTTGGTACCGGTTCCTTCAAAGGCACTTTTTGGTAATGTTTTGTCTTTATCATGTGGACGCTCAGGTCTTGCAGGGAATCAAAGGAGTCGCCGCAAAACATGCATTTCAGAACCTTCTGCGCGTCCTCTTTGTCCATGTCCTGGAAGGCCCTTTTCCGGGGCTTTGAGTAGCTCGTGGGTCGGAGCTTATCTTTTTTGCGGTTGTCATCTTGATAGTGGCCTGTCTCATTCATGTGCACGGTCAGCTCCACCAGAGTGTCGTAGGCCGCGCTGCACTGTCTGCAGCGGAACCTGCTGGCCCCGGTGAACACCGAGCCGCACATCTTACTGCTCTGCCGGTACAGCTGCACGGAGCTGAATAGGCTGGGCTTAGAGACAGACCGGGAAGGCAAGTTCTGCTGGAGGCTTTTGGACAGGGCATCTTGGTGCCAATCAAAATCATTCTTGCTGCTGCCATTGCGGGTGTCACAATTCCGTCTCTCGCTGTTGGATAATTTGAAGCCGAGGCCCAGGCCTGACCAGTAGGAATCTGACAGGATATTGGCATAGACGGCTGTCATTTTATCCATGCAGTTATGGGGTTCGCTCGGAAGCTTGGGGTGAGCGTTTGCTTTCTTGTCCGAGACATCTCGGCCACAGATGCTCTTGATGTCTGACACCTGGTCGCTGGCATCACTCAGAAGAGATTCATTTTCCACGTCCTGGTTGGACAGGTGGCTCCCTGGCGAGTTCTGGCAGCTGAAGTAGCCTTTCTGCTCCGGGACTGTTTCTAGTTCCTCATCTGTCCCCGTGTCATTACTGCCCTGATGCTGAGCCACCGAACCACTGTCTTCCTCCTCCTCCTCTTCCTCCTTTATTTCCTCCTCTTCCTTCAGAACTTCCTCCTGGGCATAGCCTGCAAGAGATACAGAGAGATGAACTAAACGTAACGGCTCTCGGAGTCTGTCCCCGTGTCCCCATTTACCCAGGCTGAACTGAATAGCAATTTAATCTATACTTTCACCAGTCACAAGCTGGTAAAAAACAGAAGCAGGGAAAAGACAAATGACACATTTTAATTTTGGAACAGGGCCTCACGTAGCCCGGGATGGCCTCAAATCTGTTATGTTGCAGGGTGTGAACCCTTGATCCTCTCGCCTCTAACTCCTCAGTGCTGGGATTACAAGCGGGCACCATCACACTCAGTTCCTGTGGTGCTGTGGATGGAACCCAGCTTTTACACATGCTAGGCAAGCACTATGGCAACCGAGTACACCCCCAGACCCCAAAGGATGTCTTTCATGCCATCCATTGGCTGTTTCTTTTTAACTTGGCAAAACCACAATTCTCTATGCGTGGATACTATCACGAGTTAACCATTAAGGGATCAAATATCATTCAGATACTCCTATAATGAGGCAGTGACTAAATTCACGTGTGTGGCTGTCAGGAAATCTAGATAGAAATGCAAATCCTACCAGCATCGCAGCACAGGAGTGTGTTGGCTCCTAAGAAAGTTAGCTTGGCCCTTGGCACATCACTGGCAAACAATCCCAAGGCACTTGGAGCATCGGCATACATCCGTCTAAAGAGGAACCCGGATGCTTAGCCATTGTATCTTTGATAGCCTGTGTCTTTCTGTTGTAACATTTTTATTTATAGAGCGTTGCTGGGAGAGAGACCACAGAGTATGCAAATACATTCTCCTACCAATGGCTGAAAAATTATGTAAGCTCAGCAAATACAATGATTTTAAAATAATGGGGAATGGTGTTAGAATGGGAGATTTGGGGGCTAGTCTATTACTCTCACACGGGTTTATGAAGACCTTTCCAGACACTGCTAAAAATACTCTCTCGATCTTGTTCCTGTAATTTCAAATGCACTGTGATTTGTGGGTACCCGTCACGAGGTGCCAATTATAGAGTTGATTTGTGGATGTAAAATGCTATTGGGGAATGCATGCTTTCCCTTCTCCGAGAGGACCGAGGGCAGTAATTGCATAGGGAAAATGAAGGCACAAGAGAGAGGGTGCAAAAGAGAATTAATGGACAAATATCCATCAAGGCCGACGGGTAATGTGACTGTTTATGCCCATAGGTTCATTTTCTCCACCTGGCCTTTCAGAGGCACATGGATAAACAGCAACCAAAGATTTCTCAATGCAAAAGAGAGCCAGCTTCAAATCTGCAGGGTTAGCATGGCCTTAATGCAACGTTTCCCTCAGAAACATCACTCTCCCTCTTGATGGAAGGAAAAAAACCAACAAAACAAAACACAAGCCCTAGACCAGGTACTCTTCTTCCCATCCACCAAAACTCCAGCTTGGACGCGAGGTGTCCCTGCACTGAAGGCCAGCAGAGAGAGTTCAAAAAGAAGGGCCTGAGGAAGGAGTAATCTGTAGTCAGGTATCAAAGCTGTCGCTGTTGGTGAAGATGAAGAATTTTAATTGAGAAATAATTCTCCCCTGGCACCCAGGTAAATCACTACAAATCATTTTGGTGTGTGTATGTATGCATGTTTCCATGTGTGTGGGCACATGTGCAGTCTCATGTGGAGGTTAGAGATTGATGCAGGACCTCCTCGGAGCCTCCCCTCCTTATTACAGAGTCAGGCAGGATCTCCCTCTCACGTGAGTCTAGAGCTGGCTCATTTGGCTAGTTTATCCATCTAACTTGCTCTGTGGGTCCCCTGTAGGTGCCTCCTGAATGCTGGGGTGATAGGCCGGCTGTCACATCTGCCTGACATGTATGTGGTTGCTTGCTCACTAAACTCTGGTCCTCGTGTGTATGCAGCGATCACTGAACCATCTTTCTAGCCTCTAAGCATGTCCTTTCCTGTTCGTCTAACATCCACATACAGTACATGCTGTCATCTGTTTATTTTTTTAGAGGTCTGGAGACTGAGGCTTAAAAAAACAGAGAAAGTTGCAGACCCCGCAGGGTCCCCACAAAACCCAGTGCTGTTTGTCGAAAGAATTCATTATTTTCTGCAGGCCATTCTCCTTCCATCCGCCGCCAACTTAATGAATAAGAAAATCTTCCCAGGGCAGCAGTGAAGTTTGGTCGATCTTTAAGCAGCTAGAGAGAGGACTGTGGGAACGCTGAAGACAAGGGCCTATGGCTTTGAGGGCAGGCGTCCATAAAACAAGATAAAATGCAAAAGTTCAGTCTGGCCACGAGTTTTATGGTTGCGTTTGTTATTTTATTGTTATTGGTGAGGTGCTTTTTTGCTTTCCCAGCAAACTGACAAGCAGATTTTTCATTAAATTGGTGTTGCTGGTCTCTAGTGCCAAAAATTGATTGGAAGAAAGGAAAACTATCCAATCCAGCTAAGCAACCATTAATAAATCCCACTTCTTGCAGGAAAACTGCATTTTGAAACAACCGAATGCCCACATCAGACCAGACCTTCCCTGTGATTGACATCCTCTTCTCTTCCATCAAGACAAACGTAAGCATTCTAAAGAGGTATTCCACGATTATGATCAAGGAGAAAGTTCTTAATTATTAAAAAAATAAAAGTTTCCTGAGACATGAAAGATACTTCCAAAATCAGATCCATTTTAGCCATCAAATGTGGGCCACTTGGCTGCTGCTGTTCCTTTTGAGTGTTGCTTTGTAGCCCCAAGGGGGCTGTGAGCCCTCACAATCCTCCTGCCTCAGTGCTGGCGTTGTCGGCATGAGCCACCACTCTTGGCGAAATGATCTCACATTTGTGAGTGAAATCAGGCAAACTTTACAAAATAAACTCGGTCACTTTTGTAAAGGAAATGGGTGTTCTGATTCTGGAACAAATACCAAGAAAACAACATCATTCATGACTTCTCCAGCCTATAACATACCGCCACCATGCTTATGGGTAGTACGATCACAGAGAGAATGAAAAGCATGCATGCACGTGCGTGCGCGCGCGCACATACACACACACACACACACACACACACACACACACACACACACACACCTGCCAACCAATACGGTCATTTTCCACCAGGGGACAAGAAGTAGTGTTCCTTCCTGTTTTTCCTTTTTTTGTGCCCCCTGCTGACATTTGGTGCTGAGCTTCCTAAAGACCCATTCAACCTCACAATCTACTTTGTCCTTCTAAATGGAGTCCCCAGAAGAAAAGTCGGAGACAGCACACTCCTCCCCCACAATCCAGATAAAATTTTCTGCTTAATTAGGCATTGACATGTTTACTATAACCTTTACAGCAGAGTAACTCGTGCTGAGAGACCCTTTTTGTCTGTTTGCCTCCGCAGAATAGACTAAATCTCATGCACCCGATAAAATAACACGTTGATAAGTCTCAGGAAAAAAAAAAAAGCGCCGGCGCACCTGTCAGAGGGAGTGTATCTTAACAATGGCTGAGAGTTCCAAGGAGTTTCTCGAAACCACATTTTAATATTAAACATTTAAAATTGTTCACTTGATCCAAGCGGTTCTGTTTGCCACCGACAGCGGAGGTGAGTACGGAAAGGCAGCCAGAACCTGGGCGGCTGGGTGCATAATGAAGCTCCGTCTCTTTTACCGTCTCTCTCGCCGTTGATGGATTGTTTAATGAGTTGGGCATCACGTGCAAATCTGGCTATAAGCAGATGAGTGGCAAATTCATTCTTATGAACACTTGCTTAGCAAAAAGAATGGCCACAATGCTGCCAAGGCAGGGGTGGTGGGTTGGGGTGGGGGGAGCGACACTGTAGGATCTTTTTGTTGATTTTTGGCTTGAAGATCAAACTAATTTTCTAATCCCACCAATTTTCTAATTCCACCCCTGGCCATTGTGTGAATCTGGCCACAAAAAACCTTAGCTCCAGGACAGCGAGCAAATGAACCAACCCTGTCAGTTCTTTGTCTCAGTGACGGACTCGTGAGACCGGTTCCCTTCCATGCTTCTTCTGCTCAGATGGGCAGCCGTACTGTCCCCTAGGACAGGATGATAGCCCCTCACTCCTAATTATTCCAGCCCCCTAGAATGTTCTTCAGTTTTAGACAGATTCTCTGAATGCAACCTAGGCTGACTTTGAACTTACAGTTCCCTTGTCTTAGTCTCTGGAGTTCTGGAATGACAGGTGTTCACTAGCTCTGTTGCTAGAACATTCTGTGCAAAACGGGTCAGGCCAGGAAGTTCCTGTTTTAACTCTGGCAAAGGGTTTGGTACACTTAACATGAAATGCAAACGCTGAGGGCTGACTATAGGAGCCAATCAGATTTGATGTCTGGGCGCCTCCTGGCTCTACCCTCGGGCAGCCACACCCTCCCTGCTCTGCATGGCTAAGGAGCAAAACGAAACTGACAGCTAACCTGGTCCTCTGCAATTGCAGATTTCACCTCCCTGGAGTTCATTCTCTTTGCCTTTTGGCCAACGCCCTTTCTCAAAAAGATACTTTTTCTGGCCAGTTTCCCTTCTTTCTGTAAATTCAACCAGAGCCCACGATTTAGCTATCCCAGAGCATCGGCCTAACCGTGATTACCGATGGCTCGGGGCTCTCCCTGAACACAGAATTAAAATATCTGCCACAACAATCCGCCTCACAAACTTTGCATCTCTCAGTACCAAGTCTCACCCTGGCACGATTGCACATTGTCCATAGATGCTTGAATGAATGACTAGATCAGACAAGAACATCATTTTCTCTGCAACCTCAGGCTACTCAGCAGGAGGACCGGCTCTCTCATGAGCAGCGATCACCCCCTCCAAAGGGATCAGGTGTGAGTTACAGCCACCTCTATCAGTTCGCTCAAGGAGACAAGACCACCCCAGGAACCATGGTTTCTGGCTGATGGAGCCACTGGCTTTCTTGCTGCCTAAGTTTTCTGCAGTATGGGTTTGCACTTAAGCCTGAAGATTAAGAATAGACCTCAAGACTGTGGCGCATGAGCAATTAGGCTCTTACGGTGAACTGTCTGCTTC